GCCGCCGGTAACCCAGTCACCGCTGCTGCTGCTCCGCTCGCTGTTGCTGCGCTAATCGCTGCGCTGCCTGCTCCTCGCTCCTGCGCTAAACATAGCGCTCCAACGGCACACTGGTGCCGACCTTACCGCACCGTGGTATACTGGTGGGTCGATCCCCTGAGTGAGGCCGGACCGGTTCTTTATACCGGTGGGCAGAGGCCGGCCTCACTGCTGCGAGGCTTGGCTGTGCCCTGAACCGTCCAGATGGACGGTTCAGCCCCAACCGGCGGGCGGCAGCCTCAAGAGCGCCRCCAGGCCCAAACGGTAATGTCGTTTGGGCCTGCCCGTCGGGTCTGGTCCAAGGTGAGGCCTTYATGGCCTGTAGTACCCCAAGGTCGGGCCTTTAGGCCCTGATGTGTCCCTCTAGCCCTAAGTCGGGTCCGGTAGGACCCGTGTGGCGTCGAAGATGTAACAGATAGTCAGGCAACCTACCAACCATCACATTATCATAACTTCCGCGAGCATCCAGCAACACAAGCAGAGGCTCCACCCCAGTGGAGGGTCTGATTCATCCAGCTGGGGCAATTTTTTTTCTCAGGGGTGCAGGTATCACTTTTCTAAAATCAAAGATTCAAAATATGTATGTGTGGAACGGTTGAACGTGGAAGATCTTGACCAACATCTGGGGCAAGATCCCACTCACCCAGATTCTTCATTTCCGGCCATAGATTTCAAAAATTGATGGGCGGGAACCTAGGATCCAGCCAAGTGGGATGTTGCCGCTCGAATACATCTTTCCTCAACGACTCTTTCATATTATTATTATTATTATTTTTTACATCTTTCATATTATTTGATTAAGTTATTATTATTTTTGTAATAAGTTGACAGACCAATGGCCACAACTCTAATCATTGACGATTGGCCGACAACTGATACCCTGAGGTGGGGACCACCGACCACTGCCCTCAAGGTACCTGTGACGAAAATGAAAGCAGACTATCCTTACCCACACCAGATGGAAAACTCCACAGACTGCAGGTTCACATCACATCACAAACCAGCAAAACACCAACGAAACAAAGAAAAGCCTGTCACAGCCAGAAAATACACTCTAGAGTATTAGAGACTCTTAACATATTATATACCCACTACAGGTTACCACAGGAAGGATTAGATTGGCAGAAAATACTGTAATACAAAACCCCGAAGGATAAGCAACCGCCGAGCACCCTTTGGTTAAACCACCAGTTCAGCCAAGTGTTATGAATCTGGCCAATTTCGAAGTAAAAATTCATGAGAAAGCACAACGCCGTCCAATTAGAGAGATGAATGAACTGGAGAGTAGAGAGAGGGAAAGAAGAAGAAGAAGAAGAGGAAGAAGAAGAAGAAGAAGAAGAAGAAGAAGAAGAAGAAGAAGAAGAAGAAAGAAGAAGAAGATGTACACCAGCAAAGACCAATGATAATTCACCTTCTTCTCGCCACTCCAATATCCTCCTCTCTTTCCTCTTCCCCTCTTATTCAAACAATAAATAATAGTAATAATGATGAATGGCAGAACCAGAATGAATGCCCGAATCCCTCTTCTACTGCAGTCTCGCCATGAAGTCCACCATAGCCATGGTCGCCCTTCTCCTTCCTCTGCACGAAGACCGAGGCTACGGCGGATTACTAGGACCCTGCCCTGATGTGCAAAAGACAACACAAAGCAGTTATGGCTCGAAGCTTCTTCGTGAAGCTCTACCCCAACGGGGGCGTTCCAGGTGCAGCGCCCACCAAGGTGATGAAGATGGCGTCCACCATAGCCAGGGTGGGGAGCTGGGCATCCTTCTTCCCCACAGCACAGCACACCAGCGCTGCTCCTCCAACGCTCCATCAGTGTGTCGCCAAACTTGCAGACCACAAAATGAGGGGGAGCACTTTGTTCCTGCAGGAGATATAGCGGCCTACTTGCCTCTTGGGCGGTGACTTCCAGGCCGCACGGCCTCCAAGCAACCAGTACCTCCTCCCTTTCGGAGCGAAACATCATTGCAGACTCTGATATCGCCCGTACAGGCCCTAGACTCAGACTACTTGGACTGGTACCCGCCTAGACCTAGCCTACAACTACTGGGCCTGTGAAAAATGCCAACTTTTGTCTTCTTCTGCTCGGCCTCCAGTCCCTGACACATCTACCGCTACTTGGTGGTACCGGCCTACCTGCTACTTGAGTGTTTTTCTCCCGCTGCTCTAAGTGTCGCGGGCCTACCCCCGCCACTCGATGTTTTCCCCGCTGCAACCCTCAAAGTCACGTCCACAGGTAAGTACCGGACCTGTGGGGCCTCCAAACAAGCAATTGCCCTTGCGGGTCACACACACACTCAGACCGATAAGCACTCAGACAGGCACGCAGACCAACAAGCAAGCACACACGCACACAGACTTAGAAAGCTCAGCAGAACGCTATGTTATGATTATTGGTTATCGAGCTTCTGTTATGACAGGTATGTTGAGAGTTTACGCGTTTTGAAGTATCGTGAAATTGATGGTCTCAACCCCGATAGGCATCGTAATAGGGCCATGAATCTGACTAAGAGTTCATCCTGAGAATTATTTTATTGGGTGTGTCCTGACCGGCCCCAGCCCCAGCAGGACCTGAGCAGCCACTTCCACCTGGTCTGACGCTCCCACATTGCCACGGGTTACAGGGCGGCACACTCGTCCCAGCGAGCTACCGCAATTCACTGGCCCTGGCCATCCTCCTCAGGCGACCGGAAGTGACGGCAACGGGATCAGCACCTACGCGATGCCGCTCAGGCATGAAACCTACTGAGCTAGCCGACGGGACTCTACTGATGGACACTCTTCCTCTGCTGATAGACAGCCTTCCTCCAATGTTCAAACAAAAAGAAGAACACTTGTGGAAGGGAAGTTGAAGGTTTCTTGCTTATTCCAGTGGAAGCCTCATCCAGATGGGAGTTTTTTTCTTGTTTCTTTTGTTTTTTTTGGCCACCTTCCCTACCACTCCCCACGCTAATTATTCCAGCGCACCCCCTATCCCTACTATCTTACCTCCGTGTGACCAGCACTCGGGACCATCACCCTGCCAATATAGAGGGCAACTTGGACCAGACAGCAGTGACAAGCACCAAGGCCTGGGCAGCCCCCCAGCCCTAGAGGAAGCCAGCTTTCAGTCAGGAAGCCATGCTGCTCTCCATGAATAGAACCAATCAATAAAGATGAGGAAAGAAACTACGCGGGAGTCACAAAAATGAGTTATAATTGCAGTATGGGCCGAGATACAGTTTGCAATTGCAGTTCGGGCAATTTATACAACCCAGCTTTCTGGACAGGTAGGGTGCTGGAAGTGCAATTGCGAACTGTATCTTGCCCCGCAGTGCAATTATAAGTTATAACTCATTTTGTGACTGTACTGAAGTTAGCCCTTCTTTTCAATGAAGTTTCCTAGTTGCCCGCATCTCACATACGAAAAGGAGTACAAAAGGGAGGTGGGTGGCACTATCTCCTTTATGTGAGGCATACTCATGTGCTGCCCTGAGGCCCTGCATGCAACGCGCAGTGGTAGCGTGCAACGCGCAGTGGTAGCATGGCGGTCAGTGGTTTCCAAGAAGGAGCTTCTACCTGAAGCATACTCATGCCAGGCCAGATTGGTATGGTGTGCCAACACAGCATGCCAGACCGATACGCTAAACCAAGAAGGAACTTTCACTGACGCTTCCAGGCATGCTCATGTGCTGCACCTGGTTCCAGTGTGCAGTTGGTAGCGTACCTTCCATTTCCACTGGAGCAGAGTGCTACAACTTGAGTGTGAACATGGTCACGGCGGTCTGGGACTCTGGTACCATACCAACCAAGCTTCGGTAACTGTAGCGCCCCAGAAAGAAGCCACGAGGTTAGTGGCAGGGCCAGGCAGGCTCAATAATTTGAAATTTTATTGGAATTTCCTGTCCTGCTGCGAGGACGTCTATTTCATTTAAGTTTTAACTGTCATTTCGTTAAACCACCAGTCCGTGGCCCAGCTATCAACCGCGGAAAAACTAGAGTAGAAACGTTTCTAGTTGGATGAATTTGGGCGCTCATGTAGTGGCCCGTACGTTTCCTAAAATCACGTAGCGTTAACGGGCACGACTTCAGGAAGTACTGGTGGTTTAAAACTGACATTTTTTGTTCCGTACCTCCGAGCCTGTTTTTGCTGAGCCTGAATTTCACTGTGCTCCGAGTTTTGCCGCGCCTGGGTCCCACTCCATTTTCTTTCCTCGTACTCTCATGGAAAGAACGGAAAAAAAGAAGAAGAAGAAAAG